CGGGTTTTGTCTTCCTTTTTTTGTACTTGGGTATAAAAACCCCAGAGACCTAATTTTCTTTTTACGTTTTCTTTCTGCAATTTTTCTGAGACTTTTCTCTTGTAAGCAACCTTGAGATTCTAGAGATTCATCCTCTTTGACAATTTGGAGAAGATTTCTAAACCCTATTTCTTATTTTCATTGCAATTCAATTATGTCTTCTTCATCTATTTGTCTTGTTTCTGTTGCTATGTGTGAGTAGTCTTTTAATTAGGTGTTAGGGTTCTAATTAGGAGATTCGATAGATTAATGGATTAATTGTTGTTTGGAATTCTCATTCTCTAGGTTCTTTGATTCACATGTTCTTAATGCTAGAATAGGATTGATCACCCTGTTGTAGAACCTAGGTTTTTCTATGCATCAAAAGTGTTCGATAGAATGCCTGAAAGAATGTGAATTGAGCAATGTATTTCTAGCCAACGAAAGTTGAAGTTAGGACGCATTGTGAACTAAATGAACTTGTTTGATAATGCGAATTTGACTAGGAAATTACATGCGAAAGTTTAGTAATTGAGTAGTCAAATTTAGTGATTAATGTCTTGAAAGAGAATTAGTCTAAGTTGTGTTCATGTTCAAGAACGGTTCGTAATTGTTGAATTCCTTGTCCCATGTTTCCATTGTTTATTGATCTCTGAAATACCCTAATGCCTAATGTCTTTAAATCTTGAAACTTAAATCGTTTAATTTAATTGCATTTTTATTTTACAATTCGGAAAACTCAAACAAAACAACTTTTTAGTTTTAGCTAAGAACAAGTCTCGAAAATCCTTAGAGTATCTTTGGTCCTTGTGGATCGACCCCGTATATACTACCTTGCGGTTAAGTGTATCGGGTAATTACTCGAGCAATCAGCATAGTAAAGGTCTATGACGCAGGTATAGTCTCTAAGACCTTCTCATGGTCTTGGGTGCTCTTAGTAATATGTGGGAATCCTTTGTTCCCTTTTCCCTTAGTTTCATTGTGGAAACCATTCAAACACATTTCTTTGAAACTCAACAAGCCCCTTTGAGCTGGGTGAATATGAAGCATCTGAGGATGCGTGCCCTTGGGAATATGGGCCTGCCATGGGCCTGCCCTTAGCCTTCACTAAATGTAGCTATACTCGCAATTTGGCTAATGAACCATGTCTTTAGATATTTCGTTTATTAAATTCTCATAGTCATCTATCTCATGGTCGAAATCTTCTTCACCATCGTGATGAACTAAATGAGCTTCTAGATTCTTTTCAAACTCTCTTGATAGAGATCAACGAGATGCTTAGGTGTCCTGCACGTCTTAGTCCAATGGTTTCCCCATTCCTTATCAGTGGCAAACAAGTTTATTTGAGTGTTGTGGTTTGGCTATACCGCGGCCTCTACCTCGATTACGACCAAAGTCGGGTCGGCGGCCTTAACCATATGAATGGTTTCCTTGATCATAATATAAATTATAATTGCCACTTCTACCACGTTCATTCCATTTACCATGACTGTGGCCATGATACTTATCTCTTTGGACGTGGTTAGACTCTTTAGTCTCTTTAGGCTCTTTAGGCTCTTCAGCCCAATGGGCTTCTGATAATGGGGTAGGACCAGGAGGTCTCATTTCACTATTTATAACTCATTGTTTTGCTCAGCAAGTAGCATATCAGAATCAATGTTCTCATCACGGTTTCTCCAAAGCCTCACTCACTCTCTACAGAGGAGTCCTCCCCAAAAACAAGAGTTTAGACTTGCATATGTGGTAAAAACCTTTTTCACGATATTGTTGCTGAGGCAATATATTGTTTGTGTGAAATTAAAGGTCGAGAATGCTTTCTCTAGCAAGTCATTCTCAGTAACTTCCTTACCACGGAATCTCAGTATTGACACTATTTTAAATAGTGCTGAGTTATACTCATTCATGGATTTGAATTCCTAGAATCTAAGATTCTTTCGATCGAATCGGGCTTTTGGGTAATAGCACCGTTCTTTGGTGGTTATATTGATTTTTTTTTTTTTTTTTTTTTTTTTTGATTACTTAGTCCTGAGGTCCAGAGGATTCTTAATAGTGAGGTACTGATTTTGAGACTTTCATTGAGGTGATGGCGTATGTTAGTAATCGCCTTATATCTTTCTCTTCTGGTGACATTGTTTCCTTCCACAATAGATTCACCAAGTCCTTTTTCCTTTATGACAATCTCAGTGTCCAAAGCCCATTTCAAATAATTGTCACCAGAGGCATTGAGTGCCGTGTATTCATAATAGTTGATTTCTGATATCTATAATATATAGAGTTAAATGAGAACTCATGTAATCGGTTAGGCCAAGTCATGCGGTATTTAAGACCGAGCCATGCTTGTCTTCAGCAAGTGTTTTCTAAACAATCATGTTATATATATATGGATGAAATCAACCCTAGAAGATTGATCTAGTATGCAACAACCAAACAATCGGATCATACTAGATTAGGATATTAGGATTTCGCGGTTAAGTTTTAGGGTTTTAGCATCCGCGATTTATAGTACTAGGGTTTTTGCTAGGATTTCGGTTTTATGTATGGAACTTTCTATTTATGGAAACTTTCCTTATATGGAACTTTCCATTTATGGAAACTTTCTATTTCTCATCTAGAAAGAAATCCTAAACAAACGTGTACTTTAGGGTTTTTGGAATATTTCCTTATGAAGGGGTTTCCTATTTTGGTAACTTTCCATTTTGGGAAACTTGCTATTTTACGAAACTTTCTATTTCTGTAAACTTTCCTTATATGGAACTTTCTATTTCTGGAAACTTTCTATTTCTGGAAACTTTCCATTTATGGGAAGCTTGATCTTAAACCGTGACTTAGGGTTTATTAAACCGGTTTAACCTAGGATTTAGGGTTTCGGTTTACTTTCGGTTTAACCTAGGGTTTATATTAAAACATTCAATCTATCATGCCATTAAACATCTTTCCATTCACTAACTTCTCAATTAATTCTCCAAATACATATGTCTTTGTATACATGTATTTTACACTAGAGAGATTCTCAAGCTAACCACGTTATACCAAATCAACGATAGATTTACATAAAATAATATAAAGCACTAAGCATCATAATTCAAAATTATCGATTTACTAAACCTGAGTCAATCGTTCATAAATTATACGTATATAAAATACTAGATCAACTCAGTTGGAGCAAAGTTATGTGATTATTTTATGTCATCTTAAGATTAAAGCATGATGTGATAATGGTGTAAAACATAAATACTTATCTCGATTGAAAGCTTTTCCTTAGTAATCTCGACGATCGTTTGCGGAGATGGAGAACAAAACATCGCTACGGTTTTGCGAGATTTTGTTTTTACTTCACCACGAGATATTAATCATCCCTTCAAACAAAAGACCCACTTTATCAAACCAACTATAGACCAAACCAAACTCAATGATGAATGAATACCAAATAACTAAAAGCATGTTCAAGGTAAATCAGTGATAAAACATGTGTCGATCAATAATAAAATATAGTTTGGTAACAACTCACGTTTTAAACAAAGCAATTAATAATAAACATATGTCGATCAATGGTGAAGTATGATGGAATCTAGCTTTTAAAATATCATGATGGAGTAGATATCACGGTTATGTACTTGAGAAAAATTAAAGTATTATAATGAGATCTGAGCATAACATGATAAAGCATTCTTAACCAAACAAATAGAATCAAACAAAAAAAAAACATGATGGCGATGAGATCGTGAAGCCATATAAATAGGCTGGACAATAAATTTTGATTGAAGTAAATGAGACCAAAGCGATATAAATCATGAGCAGAACCATAATTAAATACGAGGCCACTTATCTTTTAGAATAAAACTTAGGCTCGTAGGGATCGGAGATCAAAAGCGGAGATGGAGACAAGATGATGAAAAACTGAGACATCATCGATTAGGGTTTCGATAGAATTTTTTTTTTTTTTCTTAATTCAGACGGCTAGGGTTTTTGGTTTTTGTGAGAGATTTAGGGTTTTGAGATTTTTAGCTTTTAGGGTGAGAGGCTATCGTGCTGATAACGTGTTGTGAACTGTGTCTTTCATTAATAGAATAAGGGATATATATACAAGGATAATAGCAGGATACAGAGAATAAGGTAAAACCCTAATGGGCCATGGGCCGGTTATGGAGTCCATCCATATGGTTTATAACAATTTTTAATTTGGCACATTATTTATTTTGTTATTAAGTTGTGTTGGCGCGTTATTAAATTTCAAATTTTGAAAATCAAGTAAACATTCTTTCATATGTATATATAATTACATGTTAGACTTTGAAATTTTATTTTTGCACTTTTGTTTTGTTTTTAATTTTTATTATAATTTGGTTTCAAATTTACCTCTCCCATTAACCCGAACTTCTATTATTCAAGTTTTACATCTATGAAACCTATTTATCCATTTGGTTTAGGTACATACATATTTAGCCTCCAATGCTCGAACTAGGTCTTCATCTCCTCATTTGGTCTGCCTCTCTTATTTTTCATATTATACTTGTATTAGCTTTTCTTAAAGTGTATTATTAAAATGATGTCCTTGTAAGGACAAGAAGATTACTAAAGTTATTAATTACGAAAATTGTACATGAAACATATCCGCATGGTCTATGAAACCAAAAAATAAATCTTTAACTCTATCAATAATTTGCTTGTTCAAATTATCAGACTAGTTAAGTTCTTATCTATCTTTAGATTTAATATACAAAACGTTTTCTCACTTAACTTGGCCCTTGACTATATGCTTAATTTTCTAGAGAGGTGAAATATCTGCTCATTAATTCCTAGGCGAAGAAAACTCCACAACAGGAAAGTTTAATATGCAAAGCTAACAATCTTTTTTGTTTGATCTTTTGGATTTTTTTTTTCTTTTGATAATTGTGGCCATATTTTTTTTTTTTTTTTTTTTTGATAACTCAGGTGATCTTAAAGTCTTTCTAGGCCCAAAGACTAATCCTGGGGCCCGGAGAAACCATGTTAGAATTCGAACCCCGGTGGCCAATGCTACTCGAACCCAGGTGGCGGAGACTTTTCTCTCCTTTACCACTGGACCAATGCGACTTGGTTTAGTAATTAGTAATTAGTAATTAATTGTGACCATATTCATTGCATGTTGATGAGCAAAACAGTGACCTTTCTACTTTTACTTGGTATCCATAGAAGTTGCGGGTAGAATTCGACCCCGGGACTTTGCCATATTCCCATATAAAATCTCATCCTGGTTACATAATCGGTAGAATTAACACATTTGAGTTTAGAACTTTTTTCTTTTTTTGCTTTAAACAGTAACTAAAAAATCAGTGTAGTGAAAATATTGGTAATGACCGAGATTAGAATCACTCCACGTATCATTTCGATAACGATAATCCTTAAAAGAATATTACATATATATCGAGTAGTGTTCCTATATTTTAAGGTCGTGTGGTGTAGGTCACATCTTCTGTGTTTTCGAGTCGAGGACGTCTACATGGTGGTGGTCTCTTGGTTAGTAGTACTTGGGAATCATATTTGGCAATAGGAGCTCCACATGATCCTGATGGTGGAGTATATATTTCTGGACCCATATCACCACCTATTTCATAGCCAAGATACTGATTTATTAATGATAAAATTTAGCTGCTTGATTTGATTCTATAATCTGAAATCTGAGTCACTTGTTCATCCTAACTGAGAAAAATATAGAAATCAAATCGATATATCAAGAAAATGGTTGAGCTATATATAATGCTTTTGGTTCATGGAACAACCTCATTTTCCTACTCAACTAAAGAAAATTCGAAACTGATATAGGGATTTAAGGAAGCAAATGTTGTAATGCACAATTCTATATGCTTACTTTTCTCTTAGTAGTCGATGTTATCTTGATTCAACCAAAATCTTTAACATTTAATTTACTTTATCAATTCTCTTTTCACAACATAGTTTTATTTTCATTTTACTTTACTCGCTTTACCAATATTCAAAACATGAGAGATTGAAAAGGTTAAGAATTATGTGATTCTCTTAATATGTGAACTAACCTGGAATACTAGCTTCTACAAGACCAATCACAAACATCAGGCAAAGCAGAAGACTTAGCAGAAGAACATGTGATGTCTTCTTCATCGCCATTGGCTCTTCTATCTTAAATAACCAAAAGAAATTATGATATAAACTTTTATATTTTGATACCTTATATATATTAGATATTACTAAATGTAGCATTGAAACTTGAAAGTGAACACGGTTGGTAGGTTAGCTAGTTGCAATATACTTCCAACTAATTTTCCTCTCCTCCCGTAGTCCCGTTACGACTTATTTGCATGATTGCATATTTGCATCTATGATAACTTATTTTTTCATTATTTTATGACCCAATAGTCAACAAAGACAACTTTTTTTTCTCTTGTAGTCTAGACGATTTCACATTGCCATCAACAACCGAAACCCACATTTTGTAATACCCACGTTTTATTAAAAGGACTGATGACACCATTAGATTTTCCATATATGTAAATACCCACGTGTCATTTAAGCTTGAGTCACTGTGAAGGACTTGCTAAATCAATTTCCATCCTTTGATAAGCTACAAAGGGTGTGCAGAACACGTGAGCTCTATTTGGAAGAGATTGAGGAGAAGTAACAAACTTGTAACAGAAGGAAGTGTGGCTTGTGAAGTCTACAAATACAAGAAACCGAGGACGAAACGAGGCATGTGAATTGTGACTTGTGAGAGTAATCAGTGAGTGGGAAAGATAGAATCGGAGGGATACGAGGATTCTAGATTTCAATTGTTCTTTGATTCATATCCATTGTTGTTGTTGATGTTCTTGATACTCATTATTGTACTTCCTTTTAATTCATATCAAATGTTCTTTGGAATTCTGTACAGAGGATTTAGAATTTGCAATAAAGATTGTTACATTGTTGACGTTTAGTCCTGGATATATTAAGCAATATATAATAAGAGAGATTGAGTATTAAAATCTTATCAAAGCCAGTTATATGTAAAGGATATTTCTTTTACCCTAACCGGACGGTTTATCAACTGACTAACCCAACGACAAGGATGTGAAATAAATGTAATGAGTGAAAGACATCATACATCCGGAAGATATACTGATCATTCGGGAATTCCCATAACCAGCATGGAAAAAGTGGACATACTAGATTGACACTATACAAAGTCAGGAATATATGCAGTTAGATCATGATATTGGACTAAACAAAATGTACCATCATCTAAAATCCCACCGCAGGTCTTGCCACCATATTTTTGGTTATTGCAGGCTATATTCATAAGCTAAAATATTCACCAAAATCATGGCATTTCATATGGCAAGTAATAACAGGTTCTTTAGCGGTAAACTCGAATCTTAGGCACTTAGGGGTTAATTGTGACATCTAGTGTCCATGATCTGAAGCAGAGACAAGGAGTTTTTTTTTTTTTTTTTTTTTTTTTTTTGTCTCTTTTCGAATTACAAAAATGGGCAAGATCTAAGATTCTTGCAGAATTCTAGCATCATAGCAGAGGGCACGAGCACAATGTGTAACCCCTAACCGGCCTCTTTATTGAATTTGAATCAAAGTTGCATAGATAGATCTAACAGCACCCAAGCGACTCGACAAAGAGAGCTTAAAAAAATGCATGGGTATGAGTATTAAAATTGACTTAGCTATATTGAAGCCCGTTAGGAAAAATAAAAAAACCAAAAAGTCGGGCGCGTGAGTAGCACGCGTGGGCGACTTTCCTCCATTCTTCTCACCGAGAACAACACAGTCGCCGTCAATTGCTTGCCTCTCCGGTGACCGGTTGCGACCGGTGCCGTGAGAGGGCTCTAGGTTCTTTCTGTCCGATTTCATTTGTGCACTTGAAGATTCGGAAGTCTTGTTTCGGTCCTGTTTCTCGCGGTGAGAGTTGAGGGTCCGCCGTGCGTGTCGGCCGTTCTCGGTGGTCGGAATCTCATGCTCTCTGCCTCTATTGCCTGTAGACGGTGACAGATCAAGGCGGAGGCTTGGTTTCTTCCCTAGCGACTCGCCTCTCTGGCGGCGGAGCAAGTTCTCACTTGTAGATCTACTTCTAGATCTCCTTCTTCCTGGCGTTTCTGGTGGCGGTGCGGGCTTCTCTCGGCGTTGCTGTGGTGTGGCTTCTCTCCGCCTTGCTTGGTCTCGCATTTTCCAAGACTCCTCTTGGACTAACCATTGCGCTTCAACTCGTGTCTACCGGCGGTTTTGGGCTTCTCTCTGTTGGGATTTGCTTTGAGGACGGCTTTTCCTAGTAGCTAGTAGCTTCTGTCCACCCCGTGCGAGTCGTTTTCGAGTTTTGGAGTTTTGATTCGAGTGGTTTTCAGCGGCTCTGTCGAGAGCTTACCAGCCTAGCTTGTTGTTCTTTGACTTTCCGAGCCTTTGAAGCCTCAACCTCTCTTTCGTCTCTCCTTCGCTTAGGTTTCAGGACTTGGCTGTTGTTTGATTCTGCTTTGAGTTTTCTGTCTCGACAAGCCTTGACGTTTGGAAGAAGCATTTCTCTGTTGGCATCTTCTGCTCGTGGACATTGGCAGGATTATTAGGAGAGTGCTTCCTCGTGGCAGGTCAAGTTGTTTTGTCTTTTCGGATGCTCTTTTGATCATTCTTTTGGCTGCAGTAGTGTTTGATTTGTTGATGTTTTAGTTACCGGTGGTACTAGCTTTCATCGCCAATTGAGGACGTTACATGTATACCAAGACTTTTGGTTTGGTTCAAGGCCTGGTTTTGTTGTGGCTTGCTTTTGTTTTTGCCTTTTGGTAGAAGTTTGCTATGCTTTGAGTGTCCGCCTCTTGCTTGCGTTAAGATTGTGCTATAGAGGAGCTAGTAAGGCTAATGGCCTTTGGTGTGGTGGTGAACTGTTTTTATTGTTGCTCTGCGCTAGCCGACTTCGGGTGAACTTGGTAGAGGGAGCACACACCGTTGGCATAATTTGGCGTGTGAGGTTCCGTCCGAAGAAAGCTCATGGACTTGATCAAAGAATCGCTTCTGCATTTTGCGGGGAGAGAATGTGTGGCAGGGTTTGGAGTTCTTTTCCGTTGACATCTCGGTCTCGGGCCTCCTTTGAAAGGCTTCTAGAGCTATGTGTCTTCTGCAACTCGGCGGTCACAATTTGCAGTCGCCCTTCTCCTTTTGCAATTCTTCTAGGAAGAACAACAAAATCGTCATCGCTTCATTTAACTCTCATAGCTCTTTCGCTATGGTTGAGTGGATGGACCGAAAACCGTGGTTACTAACTTATGCTTCCATGTTTTTATCTTTTTTGCCATGGAACCATTTTCTAGGATTATAATCATCGATTGTAAACCTAAACATTTTTTATTTTATGAAATATTTACATTCTTAGCAAAAAAAAAAAAATATTGAAGCCCGTCAAAAACAGACAAGTATGATACTTAAACATAATACATGTACTTAGAGCATCTCCAACAGTAATGTCTTAAGATTAAAAAAATAGAAAATAATATAAAAGTAGGAGAGAGTGTATACACAGTTTCTGGTTTGAGAAACTTTGTGAAACTGTGTCTCCACTTGTCCTTTTATTATTGGCCAAATTTTATATCAATTAATAAAGTTAAGAAAGTTCTTGCGCTCATAACTGCAATAGAAAAGGATAGCCGATAGCGATGGAATGATAATATATGGTGGAAAATATTGGCCATAGCCACTAGATTAGTTTAGCCACGAAAATTAGCGCGTTCATTTATTGCTACCAAACTTTTAATTAAAGTACTTGGAAATTGAAAAGTAGTTGCTTCTTTAATATATGTTTATGTATAATAATACCCTGAAAACATTTAGACGAAGGTATGATGAAGTCAATAATGTTTATGAAAACATCATATATTTCTCTTTCCCTATCGTTGTTTCTTCTCCTTTTATCTCATTTTTCTCATGTTGGAGCTACACACCGCATGCTATGTAAGTACATCTATGTATAAGAATATATCTTCTCCTAGCACCAAAACTACCCTAATAGCAAAATTTTGAACCTGATTGAATTTGGAAGCTACAAGTTCAGTAATAGTTTTATATTACCTTAGTTATGATTTTTTTTTTGTTCTTTGAAAAACTTGGAGTTTTGATTTGAGGGAAGAATAATAAGCCCATCGAAAGAACTTCAATTTGTTTTAATGTAGTTTTCTCATGATTATTTTGTTTGTACAAAACGGCTAATGTGAGGCTCATTCATGGTGATATAGATGCCCAAGTATACACACCACCATCTCCAACATGTGGAGATCAAATAGGAAATTTAGTCTTTGAGGAAGCTAAACAAAAGACAAGAAAACGAAAACTCTGTAGACATCATCCTCCAAAACCATAATTGCAAACACATGATGCTGCTGAAGATAGGTAACATCTTCATCTTCTCTGACTGCATAATATTGGTGTTTAATACAAAATCTCGCTGGTGTGGGACTCATTATCATGTTAACGTCAAATTAATTAGCTGGTGTTGTAAACTTTAAATAATATACATTTTTTAAATGTAAAGTTATATCCAACAAAAACAAAAACAAAAAACTATTGCTGCATTGAATAAGATATCTTTAATTGAGAGTGGCGATATAGAACAGCATATAAGTTATCATGCTCGCATATCCACCATTGAATAAGATATCTTTAATTGAGAGTATAAAAGATTCAATAACTAATCAAAAAATCAAAGAATATTTTATTGGATATTATCTTGAGTACTATTTTTTTTTTGGTATCCGAAGACGTTGCAGATAGAATTCGACCACGGGACTTTGACATATTCCCATAAGATCTCAACCTGGTTAATCGGTAGAACTAATGACACTGACTTAATGCTTCTTCATTGTCAGTCTAAATATGGCTAAGAGTTTAAAATAATTCCTAGTAAATATAGTGAAAATATAGGTATAACCGAGATTAGAGTCACTCCATGTATCACTTTGACAATCTTTAAACAACATTACATATAGATCAAGTAGTGGTCTTATATTTCAAGGAAGTGTAGTGTGAGTCACATCTTCTTGGTTTTGGGGTCGAGGACGTCTACATGGTGGTGGTCTCTTGGCTAGTACTCGTGATGAATCGTATTCGGCAATTGAAGCTCCACATGATCCTGATGGTGGAGTTCTTATTTCCGGACCCATATCGCCCCCTATTGCATACCCAAGATATTAATATAGTTGTAAAAAAAATGTATGCTCGATTTACTCTCACTCCCCTAATTTGTGCAACGTCAAAAATTCGAAGAACATATAACTTACTCTTATATTTTGTTATCCATTTCAAACCTAGCAAAATTAGATTTGATCCTATCGAATTGATATTTACTTTACCTTTTAAAACAGAAAAGTTGCAGTATATATTAATTTTGATTCTCTTGATACGTGAACTGACCTGATATTCTAGCTTCTACAAGACCAATCACAAACACCAGACAAAGCAGAAGAACATGTGATGTCTTCATCGCCATTGGCTCTTCTTGTCTCAATTAAATAACTAAAAAGAAATAATGAGAAACTGAATAGATACAAACTTTTTATATAGCATTTAAAATGTACGCGGTTGGTAGCTTAGCTTATTGCTTATTGCTATACTGCCCACTAATTTTCTTCTCCCCGTGTTTTGACTTACGACTTATTTGCATCTATGAAGACTGATTTTTATGGCCCAATAGTCAACAAAGAAAAAATGAGTTTATTTTTTAGGGTAGACAAAGTCAACTTGGCAAGCCCCTCTTTTATTTTTTTTTTATGGTACGACGCTTTTCGTATGGTTTCAATATTTCAACTTTTTTGAAAAAATATTTTGATGCGTTAATTTAAAAGTGGCAAAGATTACATGGTTATGATCCGTTGGAGCATACAGTTTGTGAGGAGCTGAATTAAAGAAAGAGATTAATTAAGTTACTTAATCTAGAGTGTGCTTAAACACTTTGACAAAAAAATAGAGCTGAAGCATTTAGCTAATGGATAAAGGGCAGAGAAGGTGATGTGGATGAGACTGATGAATGCACTTGCCACGGTCCAACAACCGTCGTCCACTGCATCTCTTGAGTGGCTGACTTCTTTAATTCCAGTGGTGTGCAAAACGGTTGATGGCTTTTATAAGTATTCTTATGATATGACTGGAGTTATTTCAACTTGAACGATCCATTTCCTAAATGATGACATAAGACCGTAATTTTCATTCGAGTCTTAGGGGTCGTGGAATTGTGTGAAGAGATTATAAGGTTTCTAAATTATAGGAAAAATAAAGAAAAGAAATTCATTAAGCGCGTCTCATCCACACGCCCCCAAAACTTCTCTCCCAAAGCGATTTTTCTGCGACAACCCTAATCTCCGCCGCCCTTGCCTCTCCGGTGTTTGGTTCCGACCGACACTGTGAGAGGGCTCTTGGTTACTTGCTCTCTTCTTCTCATGTGCTCTTGAAGGCTCTGGAGGGTCGTTTCTTCTTTGGTTCTCGTGGTGTGTGTTGAAGGTTCTCCATGCGCGACGGCCGGTTTTCCGGTGACTGGTTTCTCCTGCCCTCTCCCTCCACTGCCTGTAGACGGTGCTGGACAGTGGTAGAGGCTCTCATCTCCGGTCCAAGTGTCTCGCTTCTTTTCGGCAGAGCAAGCTTTTGTTAGTAGATCTGCTCTAAATCTCCTTCTTCCTGGTGATTTCCGTTGGTCGAGCGTTCTTCCCTTGGCTTCGTCGTGGTGGCGTCTCTCTTCTTGGCTCGGAGTCATCTTTTCCAAGATCTCTCTTGGTCTAACCACCGCGTTTTGGCTCGTGTCTACCGAGGTCTCGGGTTTCTCTGAGTCGGGAGTTTGCCTTGAGGACAGCTTGCCCCCGCTCGCTTGAAGCCTCTGTCCGCTCCGTGCGTGTCGATTTTGTGTGTTGGAGTTTGAACTGAGAGGCTTTCTTTAGCGCAGTGTCTGGTTCTCCAGCTTTGGTCAGTGTTCTCCGTTGGCCCGCTGTTGCTTCTGATGCCTCAGCCTCTCTTTTCTGTTTCTCCTCCACATAGGTAATCAAAGTTTGGCTGTTATTGGTTTGTCTAAGGTCGTCTAGTTGTCTTCGTCGAGCTTGATTTTAGGAGAACCATGTCTCTGTTGGCCTATTCTGCTTGGGGTCGGTAGCAGAATTTTTAGGAGCATGGTTCTTGTGGCTGGTTAAGCTTTGTCGACGATTTGGATGCTCTTTGCCTCCTTTGTGCAGCTGCAATGGTGTTTTCAAGTTGTGGCGTTAGCTATCGGTGGTAGCTTGTTACCTACTACTTTTGAGATCTCCGTTTGCATTTCGCCTCTTTGGTTTTGTTCAAGACTTGTTCTTTCCTGTGGCTTCCTTTTGACAGTGCTTTTGTTTTGAAGTTAGCTTGCTTTCCATGCGTTTTTCTTTGTGTTTTGGATTGAGCTTTAGAGGAGCTAGTAGGGCTAAAGACTTTTGATGCAGTGGTGATTTTTCTTATCTTGCTCTGCGCTGCTGACTTCGAGGAGGAACTTGGTTAGAGGGAGCTTGCATCTCTGGTTTTTGGCGTGTGAGGTTCCGTTTCTAGGAAAGCTCATGGATTGAATTGAAGAATCGATCTCACTTGAAGCAGGGAGAGTAAGTGATCGTAGATTTGGAGTGTTCAAACCGTTGACGGCTCGGTCTCGGGTCTCCTGCGAAAGGCTTGTGAAGCTCTTGGTCCGTCACTTTAAGGTTTCCCACTTTAAGCAAAAGCCCTTCTACTTTGCACTTTCATTCGGGAAGGATAGATCAGAACGTAATCGCTTCATCTTTTCCCTTTGCTTCATAGCTTTATTTACGGGGTTGGGAAGATGGACCGAAAACTTGGTTTTAATTAACCGTATGTTATGTTTCCATGTTTTTATTATTTTTGCCATGGATATGCATAGGTTTCAAATCTATGTTTGTAACCTAAACTTTTTCATTTTCTATGAAATATTTACAATTTAGCAAAAAAAAAAAAAATTATAGGAAAACATATTTTAACAAAGGAAAGTAGAATAAATTCGTCTAAAAATAAGGACAGGGATCTCGGTAAATTAGTATAACATATGGGAATTTTGATCCATATTTAGGTTTTGATTATAAGAAAAGTGAAAATTAAGTGGCCAAAAGAGGAGCTAGCTAACTAAAGAAAATCTGGTAAAGAACATATGTTGGATTCAAATAGATAAAATAAGGTTTGCGGGATCTCGGTTCTATAAGGATTTGGCTATGGATATTAATTTTTGTAGCATAAGGTGATTATGGTAGACTAGCTAGTAAAAAGAAATTTTTGACAGCAATTGATTAAAGAGTGGTTTAGTGGGATTTGATTGGAGAGTTTTATAGGATTTTAGCTAGGATAGCACATTATTTTAAGTCTTCTAAACGGAGTCTTGGATGATTTCATCTCTGCCCAACTCAAAAGCAAAAGTTAGAGAGAAGTTACAAAGAAGTTTGGATTTTTACAGCCGTTTTCAAGTAGTGTTCGGTCAATTATGTATTAAGCAGTATTTGGTTCATTTGTCATATATGATATATAATTGAAAAAGAAAATAAATTAAATTGGATGTTGATAAGAGACATATTTATCATTTAAAGGTCTCTATTCCATTAACTTCAATAAATGTTCTGAAATTATTTTTTGGAAAAATAATTTATAGATAGGATTACATGATTATGTGTGGCAGGTAAAAATAGATAGTTTCAACTACACCAACTTATACTTAATGCATAGTGACATGCACTGAAAAACAAAATATGTTTTTTTTGTCATCCGAAATTAATTAGAGCTAAAAAGAGTCATTCGTGGAGAATGTTGTTTACATATGTGATATGAAGCGGTTCTGTACGAACTTTTCGTGCTAGATTATCCGCTTTTACATTAGCACTATGAGAAACTAAAGATAAAGAGAAGGTTGAGAATTCCTCCTTGTCGCTCTGGAAATTTTCCAAATATATTGAAAACGCCGGCCATTCGGTTGGAGAAGACACTATCTTCACCAGATCAGAACATTCTGTAAAGAACGCTACCTCTTGATTATCTGCACCAATCATACACTTCATCGCCCAGAGAAGGGCCTCGACTTCTGTCTGTAATGGAGATAGACTTCTACTGAGGTTGGCAGCTCCCTTGGTTGGCGGCTCTCCGTTTGATGATGTACAGAACCACCCTGTACTGGAGAACTTGTCACTTTCTTTCCATGATCCATCTACAAAGTAGCGGTATCCAAAATAATTCGAATCAAGTGAAGCATCCCCCACTCGAGATCGACTTACCAATTCCACATGACCATGATTTCCATTATGAAGCTCGATTTGGGCTGACTGCCACAATTGTGCTTCTTTATCGCTAACCGTAATACCTCTAAGGGATCTTTATCCATATTTTCAAATATACCAGATAATCCATGGAAGGCTGGTGAATCAAATTCCGAAGGTATTCTCCAAAATAAGTGATCCAAATTCGCAAAAATAGATTCCGTTGGAAAATTTCCCATAGCCGTAGGAACCTGAGAAAGCGCCCAAATTGAAACATTTCTGTCATTTTTGACATAACCCATTAATTGAAAGATTAAAACCCAATTTAAATAATTCAAAACCAAACTAAACCATAAACCCAACATGTAAACTAAACTTGGCTCAACCGTAATATAATTTTAACCAATTTGAATGTTTAACATGAAAACCAATTGAAAAGTATCCAAAAAGATTATATATCTATAGAAAACAAGGCCTCTTCGACAAAATTTCCGACGGACATTGAACGGTCACAAATTTCCGATGGTTTTCCGACAATATTCTGACTGATTTTTAATGGTCAGAATTTCTGACGGAATCCAACCAAATATAATCTGACAGATTTCTGCCCAAAATATATCCATTACTATATCCGTTTAAATTTTGGTAACATATCCGAAATATTTCGGAAAATTGAAATCTTTCTTACGGATTTCGGACAAAAAAATATTTGTTAATATAGCCGTTTGAACTGGAATGGTGCAAGCTTTTTTAGAACTGGATGCTTACATAAAGACATCAACATGACTAAAATTTGTCCACTCCCCAAGAAACTCAAGACAACGAGACTTTTAGAGTATTGAAGAAGATCCTCGTGCCAACAGAAAATTTGTCTAATCCCCAAATGCCAATTAGTTTGTGCAATGTCATCGACAAGATTATTACAAATGTTTTAACTAGACAACTGAAGAAGAGTGTAACATCCCGCTCTCGCAGATTATTGTTGGGCCAAATTCCATCATTATTTGAAGCCCATAAAAGTCCAATGGAATTTATAATTATCAAAATGACATAGGCCATGTCGTTAGATTTGGATGAGCTAGAGTATATATACTATATACACATGTGTAGCTATCGCCGTGGTCGTTTTGAGAGGAAGGAGAGGGAGTTCGTGTGAACCCTAAAAGCGCCGCCAAGCCCAAGCCTCTCTCAATATTGGAGTTCACCATCATCACCGGCGTTGTCAAGTTATCACCGCCAACTTTGCCGGCATTGCTGAAGTGTTCGTCGTCATCATCGAGACCAAAATAATAAGTGTGGCGTGTAGATAAAGAGAAGAAGAGATTGATCGAGTACCAA